TCACACAGATTGTCTACATAGTCTAGATGCACCCTGAATGGTTCACTTACAGCAGCATGAGTTAGAACTGGCTATGGCAGCATACAACAGTCCTACACTAATCTGTCTGTGAGGTTAGCAGTCCGTCAACCAACTAATCAAAGGTACAAAAAGACAATGTAGCAGATGTATGATTGATGGGTATAGTTGTGTATACAGTTGAGCATCAATTAGAACCTACCCTCCCCTCCATCCAACCATCCGGACAGCATCTTGAGCAAAGCAGTGTGATCGTGTGTGTATCGGCCCACCCCTGTGCCCAAGTCAGAGCCAAGTAAGCCAGTCAGCCCACTCTTATTTACCCTCGTACGGAAACGAGCCTTACACACGGATGATCTGGCTGATCAGGAGGAATTTATAGAGCGCCCCCACCTCTTCAGGAATTCTTTAACGTCGCAGTCAGGACGACGATCACAGCCAGAATCATTCCGTGTACCCAACCAGAAATGTTTATAGACGGTCTGGTAAGTGTCTCATACAAGGCTGGCATACTTGGCAAGACTTCTATCTGAGCGCAGCATGTGCAAAAAACAGGACAGCAGCCATCGCATGCGTGCACTACTCCCTGTGGGTTGGCATGGTGACCGTGACCCAAGTGCTTCGACCAGGGCCCTTCAGAGGCACCGCCCTTACTCCTTCCAGATGCTTCCGGGAAGATTGTCGTCTCTCAAGGTAGCGCGCTCACGACACCTCACCAAAAGAGAGGACTCTCTAGTTGGACTCACTTCCTCACGGTAAGAAGAGATTGAGAGAGTAGATAAGGTAAGGGATCAACATACCTGGAGATAGCTGCCCCCAACCACAAATTTCTCACCAATTGAGCTGATGTTGCATTTGATGACCGGTCATGACCTCGGTACCACCCACAACGCAATGCAGTGCCACCTTAGTCCAACGACACATCAGCATGCTCTCATCATCAATCAAACATTCCGCTGTATCCCACGGCATAAAATGCCGAAATAGCCTTCCGGTGCACCCCTCTCTACTCAGGGACACCTATCAATGGCCTGACGTCACAAGTACCAACTGCGAAGAAGCATCATCAACGCACCAAGTCTGTATAACGCCAGCATGCCGAAGGCAAGTGGCGATCAAACCAGCTCTGATACCAAATTGCAAGGAACATGAGTATGGACGAAGCACAGAAATCCAGAATGCAATATCACACTGAAGTCCAAGTATTCAAAGCCAAAGCAGATAGTACGATGGAACCGAGTAACCATCCAATTGAGAATGATACAGAAGAATCGTGAGTCAATGTCCATGCCCTACAGGGCAACACCAACAGCATA